GCTGTCTTCCCCAGCTCATTCTCAGCTGTGCAGTAAAACTCTCCAGAGTCAGAAAACTGGATGGAGCTGAAAACCAGCTGTGCTCCTGTGTTGAACAAAGTCTGGTTGTTTTTGTACCAGGCGTATGCAGGGGGTGGGTTAGCATCACTGCTGCAGGTCAGAGACACAGAGCTGTCCTTCATCATGTCTCCAGTTTGACTCAGCTGCAGTAAAGGAACCTTCGGAGCATCTGCAGGATATAAACAGATCTTTACATGAGAATGTGTCTTCATAGAATATAGTCTTTTAATAGTTTGCAGCTGTCCACGGCRCTCACCATCTTTAGAAGAGTGTTTGATTTACTTTTGGACACAGGAAGGCCTCCTTTAGTGTTTAGTACTTTTACACAGTAATYATTGTTTGTATTAAATACAGACTTCACAAATCTGAACATGTCCCCTCTGTCTTGGGAATCACTGTGTGTTATTTGCATGTGTCCTGTTCACACACATGCAAAATCTGAAGGGAAAAGATGAGCCACTGTGATTAAATCTTTCATGTCACGCACTCTGAACACACACATCTGAGTATTGTGTTATTAAAGGGACCCTGTAAATATCTTGCTTCACCTTCGATTTGTAATTGTGTTTTCACTGAGCTTGTGGTCTGTCAAGTCATCTTATAACAACTGAGCTTATTGATATTATCCTTTTTATATATTTCTCAGTGTTCTGTTATTTTTTCTATTTGCTTCTTTGCTCTTATTCTGTATTCAGTTCCATATGAAAAGTGCTTTAATAACAAAGCTGGATTTAGTCTTTTCAAGGGACAATTATTCAAATATAGAAAGTCACCAGACTCAACCTTCCAAGTTTCCACACGGGACATTTTGGAGTAAACTCACACACAGGGGACGAGCGGTGATGCTCATAAGCACAGGAATAGTTGTTTTCAGGTTGAAGGAATTCTCTTAAAGTTGGAGACGTTTCCCCGTGAATTTTTATTCCATTCTTGAACCARRMAAAGGAGGGACGAGCAGAGAGACGACAGCTGCTGTGACAAGTCAGTGTTGGACCAATCGGAGAGCAGATCACCTGAACATCTGGATCTGTCAACAGGAAACACACATGTCACATAGAAGCAGCTGTGGRACCCCCAGGTTGAGAACCACTGAACAACATAATGACTTAGTGTTCCTCAGTACCTGTGACAGTCAGAGTGGTGCCAGGTAAACTGCTCTCCCATTCAGACCTCTGTGATTTGAATCTGAACCGATACTGGGCTGAATCGCTCAGTCTCAGTTCATTTATTCTCAGAGTGGAGCGCCCTCGCTCTGTTTCAAAGACCTGAACACGATGTTTGAACTCTGGGACTTGGAGTAAGTCCACAGGTCGACGGCGATACTGCTGCACATCCTTACGTTCAACAACGAACCAGAATTTAGATGTGATAGAATATTGGGGACTGTAACTGCAAGAGATGTCCACTGATGAGCCTTTAAAGGCACAGATGTTTCTGTCGATGTAATTCACTCTGTCACATGAATTTCCATTGACACCTGAAAAACAAAAACCTTTTGATTATCACCATGACAACTATAATCTTTACTGCTGTAATTAACAGTAATTCACAGTCGGCTGTTGCCCACGTCACAGAATAAACAATGCAGAAAAGATGCTACATTATGCTTTACAGAAAACAGCTATGACATTTRAATTCAAGCTACATATGTGCTTTTATTAGTGATCGGACTTTATTACCTCTGCCAGGAGGTTATGTTTTCACCCCAGTCTGTTGGTTGGTTTGTGTGCGTGCACAATTACGCAAAAATAACTGGAAAGATTTTGGTGCAGATCCAGGATTTTTCTTTCACTTTCTTTAGCATTGTTTTCAACATTTCTGCGTTTCTCTGGATATAATTCATGGTTCTTGATGGAAAGAATCCGACATATTTAGAGGACTGATATCGATGAGGGTGTGAAATCTGGTGCAGCTTGATTTAATCTGAAGGGTTTGTTGGGCCTTGGTGGAGGAATGTGCTCTACTAGTCATTCAAGTTAATGGTTAAACTGTAGAATATTTATCATAAAGGTTTGATAACAAACATCTGAGGAATCATTGACAATGGTTTTTTAATATATTTCAGCTGATATCATTTTTTTACTCCGTAGATCATTTCAGCATCAGGCCTCAAATCCATTTCAGACTCTAGTCAGGGTGCAGTGTTTTAGATCAAAAGGTTCAAAGAGCATAAAATCATTGGTCATTGGAAGAAGTAAACTCACASACTGGAGCAGAGGGGAAATCCTCGTGACCTCTCACAGCACAGGAAAWRCTGTCWCTTGRATAAAAGTATTYGTCATATGAAGATTCTTCTCCCCATGTTTTTTGTCCGTTCTTGTACCAGATGTAGGACGGACTGGGAGTTGGAGAACAACTGGTTTTACACTCCASAYGTGACYRTGAACAGGCTYCCCMAYKGCAATTTGACGATTTTTTGCTGAGCACCTGGACWCCTGTGTTAGTAAAGAAACACACACATCATTTTAGACAGAGCTGTCCACATAAACAAACCATAGATTCACTGTTTCCAACTAAGATGTTACCTGTGACGGACAAAGTGACTCCAGGTGACCCAGTAAATCYACCAGTCGGTTGGTTTGTTATGAACCTGAACTTGTACTCAGCCGAGTCGCTCTCTCTCAGGTCTGTGATGGTCAGAGTGCAGGCGTGGTTTCCACAGTGATACTGCACACGACCTGCGTACTCAGAGACTGCTCTCAGATCCTCAGGTTCACTATTCTGCAGGTTAGTAAACCAGAACATTTGCTCCACTGCAACATCATGGTCATTTATTCTTGGTGGGTGCATGTAGGTGCAGCGTATTTGCACCTTCGATCCTTTTACAGCACAGATCTCAGTAGGAGTGCACGTCACTCCCCAGCCGTCCGCACCCTGCACCCCTGTAACCACAGCACAAACTAGAATTACCACCCTGCAGTTGTATGCCTCCACCAACCAGTGCAGTTTCAGTCTGTGTTCTTATTTCCAAACCAGTCACTGTGACCTTTTAGCTTAAATCGGAGGAAATTCTCCAAAGGCAGACGAGAGAAATTATGATCAAGAAGCCAGAAACATGTTGTGTGATGCCACTGAGATCTTGAGCTTCAACCACCAAAACCTCTTCAGTTCATCTTTGAGTCCAAGTGATGAACATTTGTACCAAATTTGAGTACATTCCCTCGAAGGGATCTTGAGATATTGAGTTCACAAGAATCAGACAACGAGACAACAAAACGAAAACAAATAAACAAATCTAGAAAGTCAGAATAACATAGAGACTAAAGTGACGTCTTCACAATAATGATTTTGTCCATTCAATGATCCAAACTTCACAATTACTCTGAATAGTTTTGAACAATTTCAGAGAAATGCAGGAACCCCCCACAAACATTAAGAAGCTGGAACCATGAGAAAGACTGGAACAATTATTCAAACTCTTTTCATACAAACGCGATTTAACACAAAGTGGTTTGCTGTAAATGTACCTGACACAGAAAGAAGGAAGACCACAAAGCAACTGGCTGCTTCTCTCAAACTCATCGCTGCTTCTCTCGTCTCTGTGGCGTTGTCACATCAGCAGCAAGATTCCAATAAACGATGTTTGTGAGTCACATTGAGAGAAATCATAGATCAGGGTGTTACAAAATTGGCTTCCTTCCTCTTTCCATTATTAATATGCATGAATGAACAAATGCCAGTAAATCCCCTCGTTAAAATGAAGACTTCTCTTCTTTTATTTTGGAAATGATGCGTGAACGTCTGTAAATATATATTTCAAATAACAGTGAGAGTAATTGTGCAGCCTGACTGTGAATCTAACACTTTGACTTTCTTGAGACGGTTCTTAAAAAAACATGTTGAATTATTGTTTCTTTTAACTTTATGTTAGAAGTCAGTTCCTGTTTATTTACACCTCCAGTCCATATGATAACTGGGTCATTAAAACACATTGTAAAAGGTAATACTTATGCATACTTACATTACTTTAGTTCTCACGAGGATTCAACTCATGTGAGTCATACTTGTTTTGTCTGATACACGTGTAAAACTGTTCACCCGCGTAGACTGGACTTCACAAGCTCATGAACAGGTGCACATGAGCAGTAGAGCGACACAGGAACCATCGACTGTTGGTTCTATAGCGTGTTGGGGTTAGATGGGCGGAGCCTCCCACTTTGCTCTGACTGTGCGTTAACCTGGAGTCGGAATAATCGGAAGAATTATTTCCCGACTGGAAAATTCACATGAACTCCATCTCAGCTCTGGAACTGATTCTCCTGATTGGTCTGATATCACATTAAAGTAGTTATGTAGATATGAAGTTCATTTATTTACTTGCCTTTTTCAAGTTGGATCAACTTTGTGGTCTGAGCGTATTGTGAAAACTAAAAGTCAAACAAATGGAAATAAATCTGTCATGTTTCATATTTTCCCCCAAAGTGTTTAAAGAGACAAACTGTACCTGACAGGTGAGGGCCGTGTGCACACTACCTCTACGCTCTGTGTAGAACAGARTGTATAATAATCTTGAAGGTAAACRATCAGTATCACAYGAAGGTTCAGTGCTTCAGTTGGAGCATGTCAAACATCACACTTCTTTCATCTATCATCTGTGATTATCTGATAGTGTCAGAAGAAAGAAGACGGACAAACGGCAGAATCACTCATGTTTGGACACAGAGAAAAGACAGATGGGGTGAGTATGTCTGACTCCAGAACTGAGTTCGTAACAAGAAACTGACTTCAGCATGAAAAGGATGTGGCCTTGATAAAAACAGATCTCACCAGGTTTGTCACAAGAGAAGCAACAAAGGAAACTGACACAATGTGCATGTTTTCCATGCTACTAGTTTCTAGTCTATCTTTAGACTCACTAACACTAACAGCACATTTTGATGGTGTTAGTTTCACCCTCTGTCTGTCTGCATCAGTAGATTTCTCCTAAATTCACCAAATAAGCTCCTCTGCATATTTAAACATTTCTTGATGTGAGTCATTAACTGGGGAACGTCTTTGGTGATTTGTTTTAGTTCAATTATTATATTAGCTAGTAGCTCATGCGTATATACGTTAGCAAGACACAAGTAAACTATATTGGTTTTTGTCTTTGGGCTAATTAGCTGTAAATTGGAGGCACTGGTAGCTTAGTTTAACGTCCAGATTGTGCGTCACATCTCGTGTTGTGTAGCAGGTTTAAACGTGTGTCTCATAAACTCTAGAGAATCAAACAAACACAAAGGAAATGTCCTAATAACTTGTGACCAGTGCTGGTGTTTCTTGTTAAAGTGTGAAGTGAGTGCAGGTCAGAGGAGGAAACAGACTCTGACGGAGACTCTGACACAGAAAGGACCTTTAATGAACGTCTGTCCTGGAGCAGCGGTGTGAGAATTATTCAGAGTCTGAGTCTCGATGCTTCTAAGAATCGAGAAATGTCCACAGCTGTGTGCAGGAGATGTGGAAGACGGGAGGGTAGAGACGAGTCTTATCTCCCGACCTGATGTTCAGAGTTTTTAATAGACTTTAATATGTTGGTTTGAGGGAAGCTGTGCGCAAACAGGAATATAATTATTATTGATTTTTTAAAATCACCCTGAAAAAGGGCAGGGGCTGAAGCCTCCTTTGATGTCTATGTGTGCACGTACCAACTGTTAAAAACAGCGACTTCCTTCCTCTTTATATCCACATACATGAAATTCAAAAGGTTTTAGATTAAACTGGGGTTTGTCCAAGTGTGAGAAACAACTTTCGTGTCTTCTGTTCATATCAAACCTGTATCGTCCACATCACAACGACCCACTGACACAAGAAAGACATGTGAAATAGATCTGAGAAAAACTGGGCTGTTTTTAATCTCATCAGTTCAGTGTCTCATTAAGATGCAATAAAGACTGACATCAAAAAGACAAATCAAAGAAAGATTTAAAATTAAACTGGAAAATAAAACTACCATTAATACTGTGAGTGACATTAAAACATAGTAAGAGTTTTAAATCAAAAGTGAATTAGAACAAATGAGTCACATTTTATGTAAAAATAAAAATAGTAAACAGAATAAAAACACTTTTAATGATCCCCGAAAGAAAATGTGCTTTGTTGCAAAATTGTACATCACAAAGTTAGAAAAGAGGAAGTTATAAGTGAACAACAAATGAAATAAACAAGACTATAAATATGAATAATGTTGTGAAGAAAAAGTAAAGTATAATTAACATCAGTCTCCTAAAGGTGCAGCCAACAAACTAATGATGTTACTAGAATTACCAAAACTAATATTACAATAATGAATCAATAATCCTCATGAAGAATAAGTGATGATATATCATCTATTTTATAAAACTTATAAACCTGGATCACAGCAGTACAACATTATTCTGTTCGGAACATTTGAAGCTTCACACCCTGAGCGAGACGTCAGAGGAAAATGGCCGGAGTGTGATCACGGTGGATTCAAACACACTCCTTCCTCTTCACATGTTTAACACGTGATGTTTGAAATTCCACAAAACACTAAAGTCAGATAGATAGATAGATAGATAGATAGATAGATAGATAGATAGATAGATAGATAGATAGATGGATGGATAGACTTCTCAAAATGTCCAAATTTTGTCTTTTTCAATGATGTCTTTTTCCCAAATACAACTTCAGTCCACGCTCTTTTGCACCTTCCTTTTACATTCATCACACATTATGCTTCAAGATTTTATTGGCAGCAATGATGTCGATCATCAATTACTACAGATAAAGTCATCCTTTCTTCATCCCACAGTGAGGAGATTTGCTGTGGTGCAGTAATAGTAAGGATGGTGAAAGTACTAAATGAGTA